TAGGATGAAAACATCATGTGACGAGAAATTTGATTTTATGACAGAATGATTTTCTATAAAAAAAATTATTTGATAAAATCAATATTACAAGTGTTAGACGTGTTCCTAACACCGCTGTGCCACTTCATCACTTCTATCGTTCTTCACTTTCTGGCAAAGAATTCTTTTGTTTTTTCTATTTCTTCGCGAGATTAAAGTATCCATCACCCTCAGGACAGAATTTAAAAGAAATATTAAATGAAATCAGCGTAGTTTTCATCTATAAATAACATTTACTTTAAACTTATCCCTTTATGCCCTGAAGCGGTTTCAGAAGAGTCGCTGATAAAATTACCACAAAAATAGAGTATTGGTCTCCCCAACATACCCGATGGTATGGGCAGATCGATCAGGCGTACTACCTTTTGTTCAGAGAAATTTCATAACCACAGTGATCATTGAGACAGAGAAGGGGATGGAACAGCTTTAAAAGCCCTACTTCTTTTCTTGTTTATGATGGTGTTAATTAGACAAATGTGCTTTCTATTCCTTTTTATTAGATTCAAATCCAAAAAGAAAAGCTACGAATATAAAAAACTATTTTTAAACACCACATGTATTTTTGACAGAGATTTTTTAAAAATACACATTTTTCTTTAAGTAATTATATCATCAATGAAGACATTTAATCGATGATAAATATTTATTTCGACTGCTACTCTGATAAGATTTACGAATAATATATTCATGGTGTCCGCCATCTTCCTCTTTCTATTCAATAGTCGTTTCAGAATCCATCTGGTATATTACCATTTCTTATCTGCCAAGCCACTCTGGAATTTTTGAAACGAATTTAGTTAAATAGTAGACACTACTGTCGATATAGATGACACAATACAGCCTCGAAATCCCTATTGTGTGTGAGTGAAAAACCGTTTTGTTTTTAAAATTTTGTTATTCTTAAATTCTTTTAAAATCGATAATTTTGAAAGTCATATATCTCGGAGCTAGAGCAACGAAACAAAATAATTTTTTACCAATCGATAGCTTATGGAGTTCCGTACTAATATTGTTTTGGGAGTTTTCAATGCCATGCTTCCTGTATTTTCTGCAAAACTTTGTATGAATGGGTCAAAAATGACCCAACAGGGTATAAAGGGTTAAATTCTATTTTCTACATATATGGTGAAAATCTATTAGATTAAGTTTATTATACAACTATAAATTATTATAAATACGTTTCCAGATAGTAAATACAAACATTTCAAACAAAATAAGAATTGAATACAAATCTGAAAAGTAAACTTATTGTTAATCTTATGTACAATTACATAAATTCTCAACAAATGAATATCATCTCATGGTTGAAAAGTCATTATTTATTTGTAATGATCTCATTTAACAAATTCAAGTATTTTCTATCAAGTGGAATTATATTTCTTTTAATATTACTATTTCTAAACTCAGATAAAGATCTTAGATTATTTTTCAATACATTTTTCTCAACATCAACTATTATCTACGGAAATTTAACTTGTCAGACATGGAAAAATTTTTCATATATAAATGTTACAAAATATCAAGAATGCTTATCATGGGGTTCAAATGGAGGTTTTTGGGCTGTTGAAGGACTACGTCATACAGCACATAAAAATCTATTAAATTCTACTTCACTTATTATCGAAGTTGGTGGAAATCGTGGACATGATACAGTTAAATTTATTGAATTATATAATGCATCAATAATTAGTTATGAACCATTAGTACCAATGTGGAAAGATCTTACAAAACAATTTAAATCAAATCCTAAAATAGAAATTCATCCATATGGACTTGGTAATCATGCAAGAAGTTTATTGATTGAACCACATGATTTCGGTAATGCTGGTACAAGTATTTTTCGAAAACTTGGCGCAAAAAATTCATCAACTATTCAAAAGATTCAATTACTTGATATTATTCAAGTTATAAGACATATAAGAAAAACTAGAACAAAAAACGGAATAATCGATATGATTAGTATAAATTGTGAAGGATGTGAATTTGAAATATTACCTGCTCTTATATTGAATCAAATGATACAATATTTTCGAATTATTCAATTTGCTACACACACTGGACTTGTATCAGAGTCATCGTGTATTTATTGTCAAATAGAACAAGCATTGGAAAGAACGCATAAAATTCTATATCACTATAGAAAGTTATGGGAAGGATGGGTACTTAAAACTACAACAGCCAATTAAACAGATTTGTACATTACATAAATGATATATATCAAGCGTTAATATATTTATCGGAACAATTATCACAATAGACAAATCTATATAGCCAAAATGATTGTAGAGAACAGAGAGAAAAAGATAGAAAAAAATATTTTCATGCAAAGATAACCGACAATAGCTTGATAAAACTGATTGTTTTTGAATTATGGAGTTACTTTATTTTATATCGATATTGCAATAACGTCTAATATAGTTTCATCTTTAAGATTTATTTCATAAACACTATTTAACTAATTTTGATATATCTTTCATCAATATACAAATATAAGAAGTGAAAATAACTATTGTTCAATAGATGATTCAAATAAATTTAAATTGATTTTTTTATTAAAATCACAATTCTACAATGATATAAGATCGAAATCTTCCGAAAAGTATAAAGTTAATTTTTTTTTTTTGAAAAAGTTTTTTCCTTTTATGTTTGCTTGATTTCATAAAATAAATTTATAAAGATTTTTATTGCCGTCTGTATTTTCATTTGAAATAAATATAGAAATAAATCAATTTTAATAATATAAGAAAAAGAAATTCAGTTAGAGTTTTAGTCACTTGGAAAATATTTGATCAAACTTCATTCTAATTAAATTGTGGCGAATTTGAAAATTATGATATTACACAATAAGTTCGATTATTAGCTGCATCAGAGTTGCCACTGAGTTCCCAAAGCCGATGAATAACTCGACGTGTTTCTTCTAGGCCACCATCAATATAAACAGCACCAATTAATGATTCCACAAAACTGTGATATTTCGAAAATTGTTCCCTTCGAACACTCTGTCCGAATGAGATATAATCCTTGATGTTGAGTTTTTCGGCAATTTGTATTTGTTTTATCGATTCAATGAGCTCTTTTCGTTTATTTGTCAATTGACCTTCATTAAAATCTGGATTATTACGATAGAGATGTTCACTGACGACTAAATTCAATACACTATCACCAAGAAATTCAAGCCTTTGATACGTAGGTACAGCACGATCATTCACCCGATTACTGTCGTGTGTTAAAGCTTCATCCAAAAGATTAATGTTTTTAAAAACATAGCCACATGCAGTTTGAATTTTATTGAATGCCTGTGTTTTATTCATTATTGTTGTAGATTTGAATATCTTAAGAGAATCTGAAAAGAGAATAACAAACATTTAATAAACTTCAAATTGACTACTTGAAGTTTGCCAAAAGAACTTTCACTAGGCTTTCAGAAGTGCACCCGCTGCATTTTGGTCGGTAGGCGAAAAACCATCGAACTCGATAATGCAAATGTTTCTTTGATATTGATTACAGAGATTTGTATCCATTACATTCACGAGTGCTAACAACAAGTTACATTTCAACAACATGGAACGTAATTCTCACATATATACTACATTCATGCTGTTCTACGACAATTGGCGAAAGTTTTATTGAAGAAGAGCAGAAATCCTCGTTAAATGGATAACCAAACAAATGTAAATTATCTAATCTAAAGTTCATATCAATTAAAAAACCTATTGATAATACTTTTATTGCTTAACTATTCTGGCATTAATTCATAAGTATAATGTAACTATTTCAATGAATTACATTCTTCGAAAATTATTAATGTTAAGTGAATGAAATTATTCTTTATTCAGAACATATTCGTTCCTATTCATGTCTTTATCTAGATGAAAATTGAAATAGTACCGTAAAAAAAAGGATGAAAACAGATGAAATATTTCTCATGGAAATGTTGAAATTATTTTCTGAAATTTTTATCAGTCATCTTGCAATTTATAAGCATTTAATAATTTAATTTAAAATTTCTATAATGAAAGCTATTTTCCTCTAAGACATAACTTCTAGAACATACGTACAATTGGATAGAATTTCGATTCGCTCAAATTCCACGAATTAGCAATTCATTTCTTATTATTCACTCACTCATACAAAAATCTCTCATGTAAACATCATTCATAGCATTATCTTTGTATGTCATTGATATCTATTATGGCATGTTAAAACTACTGTTTGTATTCTTACCTAGCTAGTCATACATGAAACACTTTCATAATGAAAATTACCTGTGAAGAAGTGCGATGATGAATATAGTTATAGATAGCAGAACTTAATATATATATGCATCACTTCAACTGGGAAAAACCCCACTTCGAATCGTAGTGACGTTTTATTAATTTTCTTTTACCTGGTAAAAAGTGATTTATTCATATATATTTGTCCTTTTGAGGATATATATTGTATAATTGTCCGCATATTTAATAAACCATTTGACATTAGTTTTATTGAGCATAAACTAAATGTGACTGTGGAAGTTACCATTCAATTTGTATTAAAGCAAGAACACGGAAATTTTTAGCAGATGTCATTAGTTGCCAATGAAAAATTCTCTGTTTGCTTGAATTTTTACTTCCATGTAAATTATTCTTTCTTTCAGGTTCGAAGGAATACAATGTTTTAAGATTATACATTTCAGAACACTGTTCTACCATGTTTATTCATGTAATGATATAGTGAATTCGTATTCATAAATTGGATCTGTGGGTGTATGTGCTCTTCTCACTTACGCACACTCATACCTACTCTACATTCTAGGAATTGAACATAAGAATACACTATATTGTATTGGTTTTTATATGTCTTTTGGATTTTTCGAACTAATTAGCTTTTTATTAAATTGATAAAAGTGATATGAAGTGGTCTATACTTCAAAATAGTTGTTTGTAACAAAAACTTAGAACAGCAGAAAGAAAAAAAATAAAAATTAAATGTTTAATTTAGCTGAATATTTTACTATAAATCGATCTTATTCTGACACATTCTTTTATACATCTTTAATATACGTTATATGGAGTCAGCAATAATGACTTGCTCACTCGAAATTATTTGCTACATTAAACGCAACTTCATCAATTAATGTTATGGTTACTAAAGAATCCAACATTCCTTGAACTGCTATTCTTATAAAACGGTTATTGTTAATTAATATTATCGTATATAAACGACGATTGTCCTCGTTGAACAATTCAATGGTAGTATTGATATTTTGAAAAATCAAAATGAACACAAAAGAAGGACTGCTCAGCAATATTTTCTAAGTCAATATTGAGATTATCAGTTTTTTTTTCTCAAATGAACAACTTTTTCTTAACATTGTATATCGTTATTTAAAGAGTGAAGTATCAATTCAAATCGTCATCGATCATAATGACAAAACATCATAACAGTTTTTCGTACACTAGATGCATCGAGCAACTCATTGAGAAGAGTCTTATTAGTAGATATTACAAATTCTCTGTGGTTCATATAATAAAAAAAAAATTAATACGTCAAGTTACTTCTTTGTTTATTCGAATATAATCATTCTCTTACGATTTTGTTTATCGTTTATATTTTTACTTTAGTTTGAAAAATTGACGGCTGAGAAAAATATCAATTACTCAATATACGCCATAATTCTGCGCTTTTGAATGCCCTGTTTTGGTCAAAACTACTACAGTCGTGTACCAGTTTTTATGAATATTGAATACTGTACTTATTAAACATAAAAATACTTCATGTGTATATCTTATAAATACTGATGAACGCTTACTCAAATGTATCAGAAAATGTTAGCATAGCACAATTTTCATGATTTTAGTCTATATATTAGAGAAAAACGTTTAATACTGTAGATCAGTATATTTTGACCTGAAGTAAAGTAGAACTACAAGTGAAATCAACATGCCTAAAAAATAAACATAGGTTTTCTAGAAACAATGATATATTGAATTTCTTTAAAGAGATTCTTTTCGACAATGAATACATAAGCAAATATTGAAGAAGGATATGATACATTCACTGTATCAAAATGTAAAGCTATTCGAAATGTTCTATATCATGTTTTTCCTTTTCTAATCATAGAACTAAGTAATTTTTCTTTCTCTTATTTTCTATTTTGCCTTTTGCTCGACGTGTATGTTTCTATCTAAATCTCTCAACACATTTGCTTGATTAAAATTGAAATTTCAATCTAGAATTTTAAATTACATTTGTTTCTCACAAAACTTTTTCAATTTCCATAATCCATTATAATCAATAAAATAATTTGAATTAAATAAAAATTTGATAAGTCCTGTTTTAATCAATTCGAAAAAGGCAGTGTGATTAGTAAAAGTTAGCTAATATGAAAACATTTTCGTGCTAAAAATCAATTTTGTACAAGACATATTCCTTTGTATGGACTTCTAATCTATTAGAAAGGCAATGTATGAAAATACAGCGGGAGGTGATCCACTATACAAGAAGAGTATGTAATAGAGATCCCAGCAGGCCATTGATGTCATTCATTTGCCTGCTTCGAACAAGCACAAATTCTGATCTTTGAGCCAGTCATAGGCTTAACAGGTTGCCGATTTGTCATACTTTTTCTAAATTAAAAAAAAAAATCTTTTTCGGAGTGGAAAATGCAATTATTAAAATGTACTGTGGGCTATATTTGTTGCTGAAATATGAAAAATGATTTTGTTTTCAATCATTTTCACTAGATAAAATCATGATTAATATTAGATTGGGCCTATATAGTCCATCATCAATTTATTTATGTAAATATTTGATAAATTGCTGAAAAGAAAACTGTGAAGAAATACGCCATCTGTCCTTCAAAGTATTAGTTGCATGTTACTCAGCAAGGACCTCTATAAAAAAAAGTCGATTTTACAAACATTTAATTTACTTTTTAAATCGATCATGATCAAGAAACATTTATATATTCATATTAGAATTAGATAAATATATTAAAGATTTTTTGAAAATTAATAATCAATTGATTCACCAATAGTTAACGTAAGAATGTAACAGAATTTAGAGTAAATAAACAAATACTGCAGTCGTGGAGATATATAGTTGTTGCTTTTTTTTTTCGCCTTTAATCATTCATCATTGTCTAATCTTCGTTTAGTTCAATCTAGATTAATCAATCAAAATGCCGTCTATAGGAACACTTGCTTTCGATGAATTTGGTCGTCCTGTGCTTATCCTCAAAGGACAAGAATCGAAAAAACGTCTGTTTGGTATTGAAGCACATAAGGTTCATAATTTTTTAAATATTTATTTCTCATTCTAAAATTGACTTTAAAAAAAAAACAGATTTACATTTTATATCAATTAATTTTATCAAAAAGACAAAAACCAATCATTTATTAGTTGTTTTCCTATAAAAAAATTAACGAATGTTCACTTTTTTTTTGTACTTAGAAATAAGATACTGCTTGAATAGTTTTAAAAAATTCATTTTTATTTTAGTCTCATATTTTGGCGGGTAAAGCAGTGGCCGATACACTTAAAACATCGTTAGGTCCACGAGGTAAAAACAAACAGCTGAATTTAATTTTTAATTGATAATATTATATGTTATCTTAAAGGTATGGATAAATGTATGGTATCACCCGATGGTGATATAACAATAACAAATGATGGTGCAACAATTCTTAGTATGATGCATGTTGAAAATGAAATTGGAAAATTACTTGTTCAATTATCTAAATCACAAGATGATGAAATCGGTGATGGAACAACAGGTGTTGTCGGTAAGTTAGATTTTTAATAAACAAACTTAAATATTATTATTGATGATACATAGTTTTGGCTGGTGCATTACTTGAACATGCAGAAGCTCTTCTTGATAAAGGCATTCATCCAATTCGTATTGCTGATGGTTATGAATTAGCTGCAAAGATAGCACTCGACCATTTGGATAAAATTGCTGAAAGTTATCCACTTGATTTAACAAAACTTGATCCATTGATTAATACAGCTATGACAACACTTGGTTCAAAAATGTGAGTTAAGATTTATTTAATAGGTGATCAGAAAGTATCAAAAGCTATGAGTTGAAATGTTCTTTTCAAATATAGACTTTGAAATTTTGTCTCCATTTTTGTTTGCAAATAATGAAATAACCTTTGAAAAATCAGAAAAAAAATTAGTTTGGATGAAACTTGTAGACTGACATTGCTGGTGAACATGTTTGTTCATTTTGACCTGCATAAAAGCATTTTAGACGTGCTAAAAACTATAGATCGAAACCAAAATTTGAATATGGGCTCAGAAATATAGTGTCTATTTTTGTTCAAGAGTATCAACGGACTTTTTGAAAGGCTTGAAAATGGTGAGTCAACAGATTTTTGCTTACCCTATAAGTCCCTTTTTGAACATGTTGAAAATTGTCGAAGTTAGTTATTTTGTAGAGCGAACACTTCTCTACAAAATGTGAGATTGAACTAAACTGTAGTTTTTAACCAAGTGAGACTACAAGCATTTTTTCAAGAACTCGTTTCAGTATAAAACAGTTGTCGATTTTTCAAAAATGAGTATTTAGGAAAAACAAAAACAATTTCAAATAGTGAATCGTGTAGGATAGCTTGTCATCTCCAAGCGAATATATAAATAAAAGTTCTAAATTTTTAGCTTCGAATCGTAATAGTGACAATACAAAAATTTTCCGTCTAGACTAATTTTTCGAGACTTTTCAAAGATTATTTTACTACTTGCAAACAAAGGCTGAGACAAAATTTCAAAGTCTATATTCGAAAAGAGCATTTTAACTCATAGTTTTTGATACTTTCTAGCAGGTTAAAAGTAAATAAACATCTTATCTAAAAAATGTTTCAATTACCCATTATTAAAAAAAAAAGGAAGGAACAAATTCAGTACATATTCTTTTCCTATATTAGTGTTAGTCGATGTCAACGTCAAATGGCTGAAATAGCCGTCAATGCAATTTTGAATGTCGCTGATATGGAACGACGTGATGTTAATTTTGAACTTATTAAAGTACAAGGAAAAGTAGGTGGTCGTTTAGAAGATACACTTTTAGTCAAAGGTGTTGTTGTTGATAAAACATTTTCTCATCCACAAATGCCTAAGGTTAGTTTTTATTATCATATTCTTTTGATCTAATAGTATTGTATGTTTATAGGAAGTTCGTGATGCTAAAATAGCTATTTTAACATGTCCATTTGAACCACCAAAACCAAAAACTAAACATAAATTAGATATAACTAATGTAGAAGATTATAAAAAATTACGTGAATATGAAAAAGAAAAATTTACTGAAATGATTAAATCAGTATGTAAAAACAAAAAACGAAAATTCTTTAAGATTAATTATTATTCTTTTTTTTTGTTGTTGTTATTGTTTCATAGATTAAAGATTCAGGTACTAATTTAGTTATTTGTCAATGGGGTTTTGATGATGAAGCAAATCATTTACTTCTTTCTCATGAATTACCAGCAGTTCGTTGGGTTGGTGGTCCAGAAATTGAATTAATTGCTATAGCAACTGGTGGTCGTATTGTACCACGATTTCAAGAACTTACAGCTGAAAAATTAGGATATGCAGGTTATGTACGTGAACTTAATTTTGGTACAACAAGTGATCATATGTTATGTATTGAACAATGTAAAAAATCAAATACATGTACTATCTTTGTTCGTGGTGGTAATAAAATGGTAATTTTTTTATTGTTAACATAGAATTTATCTTTTTTTTTTTGTTTTCATCGAACTAATATAAAATTTAGATAGTCGAAGAAGCAAAACGTGCATTACATGATGCATTATGCGTTGTACGAAATCTTGTACGTGACAATCGAATTGTTTATGGTGGTGGTGCATGTGAAATTTCATGTGCTATTGAAGTAGCTAAAGAAGCAAATCAGGTTTGAATAGAAATTTCTATTAAGTTCATTATTGTTTTTTTCTTTTCATTAGATTCCAACAATTGAACAGTATGCTATTCGAGCATTTGCTGATGCACTTGAATCTGTTCCATTAGCATTAGCTGAAAATAGTGGTTTTTCACCAATTAAAACTTTATCTGATGTTAAATCACAACAAATTGCAGAAAATAATCCACGATTAGGTGTTGATTGTCTTAATACAGGAACGAATGGTAAGCTTTATTTGATATTATTATTATTATTATTATTGGTTTTTTTTTGTTGATATTGAAATTGATTTTATTTAGATATGAAAGCACAATTGGTTATTGAAACACTTATTGGTAAACGACAACAGATCAGTTTAGCAACACAACTTGTTCGAATGATTCTTAAAATTGATGATATTCGTTTACCCGGCGAATCTGAAGAATGATAAAACAACAAATGAAATAACGGCATTGAACTTAGTGTGTTTTCTGTGTGTTTTAGGAACATGTTCTTTTTTTTTTTCTTTCTTTTCACCGCCTAGCGTTTCTTTTTAATCGAACCCGTTGTTACGCTTTGTTGTTGTTCCTTGTTAATGATCAAAACGTTTGATGACTATTGCATGCCACTATGGTTAATAACAACATTGACAAAAAAAAAACAAACAAGAAAATAACTGCATTTACAAATGAATTTCATGACGAGAAAAAAGAGAATGTCTGCTTGATCATACTGATATATATGTTGCTCTGATGTTTGACATAAAAAACTTATGATTTCATTTTACTTCAGGATGAGCTTCTTTCCTTTCGTTGTCTCTATTTCTTCTAGATTAATACTCACTTTCACAATGGGTTCCAATGCCAGCATTATGCTTCAACAAGAAGATTTGCAGAATATATGTCAAGAGACAGGTTGGTCAACGATGCTAGGAACCTAACAGGAATATTAATCATAGAAGACATAAAAGTGTACGAAAGACTTCTTAATTCTATTGCTTAGTAGCATAATCAGATAGACACTCAACCTTTCACTTACAAACTGTTGAATTTCGCTTAAAAATGGAATTGACACTCTTCTAGAAACATTATCAGAGAGTTTTCGTCCTCTTTACAGACATGATCAAGAGACTAAACTTCCCCTACAACATTTTTTTTCCTTACACCACTCATGTGGCTTTTGTTGTATGAATGAGTAAGTGTGTATGAGACGTATATCTTTGCGCTGAATATTCTAGGGAAAAACTTGTCAATGGAACCCCATTGGGGCTGAAATGTAGCACTCACGTGATTTCTCTAGCCTCATTGTACTAATAAAATATACGTAACGTGAAAAATCTCTAGCAGTCGATCGTTATTTTTCAAGGATAATCAATAGCCATAAAGACGATCTATGATATTTATTTCTACATTTCGAATTGAATTTTTTTCTTTTCTTCACTCTAACACACTATTATATGTCTCGATAAGCTCACAAATACGGATATTGATTATTTTCCAAAGTTACAATTTGATCAATTCACGCTTTTTATGTTGATCATATGACGAATGTGGTAAATCAATGCATCACTACCTATCATCCTCGACATCTTGACTATAAATTTTTATTTGTGCAAAAATTAAAGACTGCATTATGTACAACATTTACAAGCATATTCTGGTCATTCAAATTTCAACGAAAGCTGTGGAATGTTCTAGAATAGTCGAAGTCTTATCTTTAATGCTGTTCAGCACCTTTTTTCATTGCTAAGGAACTCTGAGAAAGGAGTCTGACATCTATTGTTCTCGGTAGCTAAGGTTTCTAATAGGAGCTAGGAGCAGTAAAACTTCGATCAATAACCTTTAGCACTGATTGCTACTGTTTGTAATGCGGAATGGAAGGAAGGGGAGTGGGCAACCGCAAAGCTTTGGCTTAAAACTTACACTCTCTATGTTCTTCGAAAATGTATACGAGTTCCATGATAAACAATTTACAACTTAGAATATAATTTTATTGTATTTGTATTTCTTTAAAAGCGTTCTTTTATATTCAATGCTTATTCATCATCAATGATTTTAACTTGCCGATCATTTTTCATATCCTATTGACTTTATTCTCGTTTGAAGTTTTTTTATACATTTTCCTATCAGTTTGATTGTGTAAATAATAAAAAAGAGAACTATAAATCCGTAGACTTAATTTCATTGATTCAAGTTCTTTGAGAAAAAAACCCAGATTTTTCTAGTCTAATAATTTTTGTCATAGGTTTCACTACCAAAGAAGTACAACGTTTATACAGTCGTTTTAAAACCTTGGATAAACGTGATTGTGGATTTTTAATACGTGAAGATCTCTTGTGTATTCCAGAAGTAATTAATAAAAATTTTATATTTTTTCATTAAGTATATCTTTGTTTTTATATATATTCAGGTAAATATCAATCCGTTAGGAGAACGTTTAATTGATGTTATTGTGGAAGATTATGGTGAAAATAATAAAATTAATTTTAAACAATTTATTTTTCTTCTTGCTACATTTCGTCGTGGAAAAACAAAATCAACAACAGAATTTAATACTCGTAACAGTAAACTTAAATTTTTATTTGATGTAAGTGATTATAAAACAAAAATTGATTAGTAAAAAAAAAAGTTTCACGTTTACATTCAGATGTATGATAGAAATCATGACATGAAAATTGATCGAACTGAATTATTAGAAGTTCTTAAAATGATGGTCGGTGGAAATATTCATGATGATCAAATTGCAACAATTGCTGATCATACCATTGGAGAATTAGTAATTATAACAAAACAAGAATGAAGAAATTCAAAGTTTTTACTTATTTTTGTTTTAGGATAATGACGGTGATAGTTCGATAACATTTGAAGAATTTTGTGAAACACTCTCACGTATTGATGCCGATGATAAGATGAGCATGAAATTTTTAAGTTAAATACAACAACTAAATGTGAAACAAAATTTCTATTTCTTCATTTCAAACATTTCATGTCAACTAACATTTTTCATATTTATTTATTTTATTTTATTTTTTTTGTAATATTATCTATTGATCAATATGATCATCATTGTGGCAATTTATATAGCGTATAGATGCGTCGTTTTAATATGGTTGTTTGTTTTCTTTTTAAACGGATTGTTGTAATCAAGCATGTACGCGTATAAGCTGTGTATAAGATACATTTCCTTTTTGTTTTTGTGATTGTCACTATTTATTAAATGATGATATTTATTAGAATAAAAAAAGAAAATATAAAACAATATTCCAACAAATATTTTTTGAATATTCTTATTCTTTTTATTTTTCTCTATTTGAAATAAATCATCAAAGATGTTTAACAGAGTAATAATTATTGTATTTTGGTTTAATTGGTTTTTTTTATTCTACATAGGACATAGCATTTAATCAAAGATTAGTTGAAAAAGTTTTCAACAAATGTCTTCAAACAAATCGATTACGCGTAGTTAAGTATGGCTGCTAGAGTCTGTCGGGTTCGAGTTCGAGAATTTTGGATCCGAAGGGCTCTGATGTCTACTAGCTCAAATACTTGCTGAAATAAACACTTGATTTACTCTTTCTTGTCGGCTTTTATTTATTAAAATCAGTAGTTGCGGTGTGCCCTAAATATTCGGTCTATAAAAAGACAACAAAGTCAGGATTATATATTTTCATAATAAGATTATAGCTTCGTTTTTTCTATCGGGATATGTTATTGATTCATTTAATTCTTTGAAGACCAACCTACAGAATTCTATACGTTTTTTTTTTAGAGTTTCTTAATTTTTGAATACCTTGTGAACGAAAGAAAGATATAAAAATGTGACGATGTATTTTTGTCGGCTGATCTTAAATATACTATTCATTTTGCTTGTAAGTATATTGGAAGCGAAAAAGATGCAAAATAAATTAAATGACTTGAGGATTCAGATGAGTATGAAGTCTTTTTGAAAATATTTAACCCACGGGTATCCTCGTCCTACATTTTAATAATTATATTTTTATATGATTATGACAGACATTAACCATAAAACATATAGCAGAATGGATGATTCTTAGTTTCTCATCCTTATCTCCCTATGTATGTTTCAATAGTGCATGTTTATTTTCAATGAATTACTCGAATCATATACTAGTTAATCATCATACTTTTATAAATAGTCGAAAGACATTTTAGGGTATCTAGTGGAATTTTGATGTGGAAATAATATTCTTCAGATGAGTTTTGAATGTATTTGTACGAAGGTCTCAAACTTTAAAAGTGGTGTGCAATGGTAAAATATCTGAATTTCAGAAACTATTGAGAGCTAACAGTTCAGTTTCATATTGTAGAAAGAGGACCGTCAATGTTACATTTAAGTAAAAAGTCTTCATTTCTCTTGACTCAAAAGTTATCTGTATTTTATGGTGAAAGAAATAAGATCACATAAATTCAAAAGTACTTAGCTATCATGGTCGAGTAATGGGACTCAAAGAGTCAATTTATCATAGTAGGCATTTGTATAAAAGTCAATACTTCAGACGAACGTTCTCTAAAGTCATTTTCACATTCGCTATGATGATAAAGATATAGAGTCTACAGCTTGAACAACAATTCATTTAAAATTTAAGACAGATGTAAATCATAATTGAATGAAAAATGAAAGCTATCATTTGTTACACATTGTAAAAATATGATAAATCGTTAATATATTATTTGTATAAAATATGTCCATATTGAATTAATATTTCGACAAGAATTTATTTTGTGATATTTTTTATACTGATAAAAAATATGTGAACAATATGGTGGAAATGTTTCAAGAAGCTAATGCATTCATATTATGTTATGCGAGAGCACTCTCCATTGAAAAATGTTTGACTGTTCTTGATATAAACTATAGGTTTGTTGTAATGAAGAAAAATTCAAAAAAACAAATTTAATAATTAAAACAATAAAAAAAGATCGAATGTCATTATTACTTAGCAGTCTTAGTTCTTTATCTCAAGCATTGACCTTAGAATCAAGACTTCGCCCATGAATAACAAAATAAAGAATAAATCTTCTAAAAGAGTTTTCCATGGCTAATCGCCAACCGATTCGGCAACCACGTCCAAATCCAGTGAAACTTTCAGGAGTTGTAGATCTTTTTGAGCTGATCATTTCGGTAATAAAATGTTTAAGATTAGACTCCATTTTCATAAAGATAAAGGTCAAATACTGTTGATGCCTTTTGTGTTTTCGGGCACGAATCTTTATCAAAATACAGTCTAATCTTAAAGATTTTATTACCAAAATGATCAGCACAAAAAGCACTACCAATCCTGAAAGTTTCAGTGGATTTGGACGTGGTCGCCGGATAGTCCTGGTGACATTCAGTGGATTCACTCAAACACATTAAATTCCACGTAGTTCTTTATTTTCAATTATTGATTCTTTTTTTTTTTGTTAGTTGCCTCTTTTTTTTCTAGACATAAAATTCTTTTTATGTTTAATCAATGAGACTGATCTTATTTACTGAGTTGTTAATAAAAATGTATGCAAGCACAAAAGAATAACTATGAGTATATTATAACAAAATGAAAAACTGCTAGAAAGTTTTAATTGTTTGTTGTTGATTTCTTTTTTGATTTTTTACTATTATTAGTGTTGCTTGTTGATGATGGTCCATTAATAAAATTGAGCAATTCATCTATATTTTTATCACCTTGATGACCTGGGATGAGTTCAGTACGTGTTACATCTTGTTTTTGAGTTTTCTTAGCCTTTCGTTTCATTAACATTTCATTTTTGGCACCTGTTGCCGATGAATGTTCATCAGTTTGATCAAAAAATAATGGATGATGATGATGATGAGATGGATCATTACATGAATGAGAATGTTGATGAGATGAAGAGGCATCATATATTGGTACACTTTTTGTTGTTGATGCCTGTTGATCAACTGATGTCGTAGTATTGTCGTTTGTATTTTCAATATTTGTTGAAGCCATTGATTATCTAAAATTTAAAATTGAATATTTATTCATTGCTAGAGAAAAATTCTAAATTCCTGAAATCATACAATACTAACAAAACGAACTAGTATCACAAATTTTTTCTAAGTATTAACAATGTTTTTTTTGCTATTCCTCTCATTGCTATTGTTGGAATGTTTACATCAAACAAAACATATAATTCAAAATAATCTTGTTCTCTAAGAAAATAACATTTATGTTCAATTTGATCATCTTCATCATTTATCATATACATTTCATTCATTTTTACTTCATTTTTTATATTATCAAATAATAATAATTGTTCTGTATTCATTCGAACTATTTCCATATAAAATTGTTTTAAAAGTCCATAACGATGTTTTTTAATCGTTTTCGATAATGATATATTACTTTTTATTGGTTCTAATGTACTAACACAAAAATGTGTTTGTCGATTAATATATAAAAGTGCTTGAATATTATGATCGAAAACAATATTATCATGAAATGAACGTGGATATAAAAGACTATTTAAATTTTGTATATGTTCTGTTTGTAAATGACAATATCGATCAACAACACTTTCAAATTCACTCATTTTTGGTGTTGTTGAACAAAGTATTGATACATATATTTGACCAAGTAATCGAATAGAAAGTAAACGATAATTATGTGAACGATCAATTGAATCAAGATAAACAGGCATATCACGAACAGTTGGTAAAATATCATTTGAATAATCATTTAATGCAATAAGAAGTGTTAAAACATATTGTTCAGCTTGAGTTAAACGTGACCATCCTGTACTTGATACAATTATACGATTTGATAATGTTATACAAACATGTTCACATTTTAAATGATCAGATATTTGTTTTAAACATGAATATATTATACTAGAATATTGAAAATAGACTTTCAAAAATAATTTACTAAAAATCATTATATAAAATAAGAGATTTAATTTAATACACATTATAACGGATGACTTATAAAAAATGTTTCCTCTCTCACAAGAGAACATTTCAAGGTATCCGCATCCTTTTGAACTGATATTTTCCTCATAGGTAGGTCTTAGTGAGCTATAAAAAGCCTTCAAAGACTTTGCACCTATAGGCGTTTCTTGCTGAATTTTAAATTGTTCAAATGTTTTCCATGCACGCGAAAGTAATGATAAATACTTTTTGATGACTATTAAAAGATAGGAGACTGTAAATATTTTTGAGAATGAACTTAAGAAGATGAACAGTTTATGTTCTAATGAAAATAATACTGAAGAAAAAAAAACCTTGAAAGTTCCATTTAGTTCATTCTCAAAAAGACCTACAATCTTCTATCTTTTTTGAAACTTTGTATATTTGGGCATCTTTGACGGTTTTTCACTTTTGATTCTATAGAAGAGAATTTTTTTTTTTTTTTTTTTGAAAAACAAATTTCAGGAATACTTTTTCTAGATATGAAAGATGATCATATATATAAAGTTTCAACGAAATTTTGGCAATTTCTATATTATTAGTTAATAATAATGGTCATTTGTTCAAATAATTAAGTCTTCAACTCTTCTAAAGATTATACATTAGAAAAATGCAAAAGTCCTTGATAAAATTTAAGTGAACAATGAAAATTTTTAGAATCCGTTATGTTTATTATTTTTTTTCTCCATTAACTTCAATAAATAAGAAATTCATAAGAATTGTTCAGCAGTTATTCAAACTTACTTTCGATCAAAACCACAAAGTGTATCAGCACATTGAGTTATATCTCCAAATGAAAATGTACGTTCATCATTTAGAATAGCATCAACATAATATTTAACTAAATTTAAATCATTTTCTAATTTTTGTGGATTTGTTTGACTTATTTTATCAATATATTCATATCCAATAATCATATTAAATAATGTTCGTAATAAAACTAATTTATATTGTGTACATTCATTTGGTATATCATATTCTGTTGGTTCTAATAAACACATTAATAAATGATCATTATATTCATAAAAATGTATTGTACAATCATCTGTATGACATGAACGAAGTTGAATACCAAATTTTGTTGAAAATGTATAAGAACTTGTTAAAATTCCAATTAAAGCAAGTGGAATTTGATTATCTGATGGTCGTTCTAATAAATTTAATATCATTTCAGGAGAATGTTCATTTCGTTCAAGAATATTTGTTGAACGAACAAGTAATGGATGACCATTATTTGTATTAACAAATACTAAACAATAGGCCATTGATTTTGAAATTCTCCGACAATATGCAAATACAAACGTTAATATAAATAATAAACTAAATCGGCCATCATATATGCACAATGTCTTGGATATAATCGGATTCGACGACAGAATAGACGAGACAAATAAAAGAGGTCGTAAGGTATTGAACAATTCATTGAACATATTTGATTCGAAGAAAAACGATGAATGAATATAGAAAAATCGAAAAATAAATAAAAGAATCAATTATGAATTTTTTTTTTATTCTATATTTACATTTTCTTTTTTAGAAAATTTCAAGAACCTTTCATGTTCTTCAATAAGTAAGTTGTATTCTTTTTAGTTATTGAAAACACTATCTTCAACGAAAGCACTTTAAAAGCAGTATACATGATACTATATTGAAAGGGATTGATTTTTTGAGTTGTCAGTAGTATGTTCACATAAACGCCGTTGCATTTGATCAAAAGACTTTGATACGATTGTTAAAATTTCAGTTGATCGGCAAGAATACGTTTGTTATATATTCGAATTAGTTTAGGTAAATGTAAAACAATGAGAAAAAGTTCATTGTCTTCTTGTAATGAATTAGGTATATGTCATAAGCGATGTACTATCTATGTAAGCGTATTGCATAGCATAAACAATATCGAAGTTATTTATATCGATAGAACTATGCTGGAGGTGTTGAGACATTTGAGAGATTCATTCAGTATAATTGGTCTTAAGAGTATTGACGTCTTAAATATTTATTTTTTAAATAAATATGACGTTGTTTAATCATAATGTTTTACAATAACAGAGAACAATAAATACATTGTATATCAATACATATGATGTTTCACGAGATCAGAGATTAAACATATCGTTATAGGTTTAAAATAATTAATTGATCGAGGATAATACTCAAAAGAGAATTACTCGAATAGAACAATATAAGATCGGCAAGTGCTGAGACGCTATGGATAGGTCGGGAACTCCCGAGTTGTTCTTTAAAACACACTGTTTTGATGAATATTTAAAGAGTCTCTATTCTGCCAATGATAATGTTCGACTCCTAAATTACACTTCACTTGTTTCAAACTTTTAAAACATAGTATCTATTCCAATGCTAATATGAAGATAGTAGCGAATAAATTTTTGACATAAAAATGCGAGTTTCTCCTCGTTACTTAGTTTACTTAAGAAATGTCGGATGTCAATTTTGTTATAAATTTTAAAGTTTGTTAAAATATACCCAAGTCAAACAAGCGCGATTATTCACGACCGTATACATAGAAATAAGACGATTTTCATGGCTTAGTGTCATGATTGTATGCTTCTGTGTCGAATTAGGAGACTGATCGTTTAAAATATTTATGCTTTCATGTCTTATGAATTTCGCATTTGGTTGTCATCGATGCTATTAATTGCAAAAGAATTATGACATATAAATGTCAAGATTCATTTTAAGTGACAATGTACATGTATTCATTGAAAAAAAAAGTAGAACTCTAATTATATAACAGTGAAAGACTAATTTGCACTAATAGTTAGTAAACGATAAGACATTCGGTGCAAAAGTTAGAGAAAAAAAGAAGTAAGTCATAGTTTGATTAAAAATAAATTATCTAACAGAGAACATATTTAGCTGTTGAACGCCGTTTAACTTTACATTATAGTTATGGGTAGTTTTTGGTGAAACTAAGAAGAACTTAAAAATATTTGAACCGATAGCTTGCTGTTAAAGAATTATGATTGTTTCGATGAAATTTTGCCGGAGAGCAAGACATTTTCAAAAAATGCAAAACAAAGAGTTTCAAGCTGAAATTGGTAACACGACAGATGAGCTTTTGATATTTGAGCTTGATATAATGAACAAATTACAGAAATACAAGAAAATAGTTTTATTTGAATAAGGATCGTTGTAATTGCTCATCCAAAAATTTATATTTCACACGTTGCTTCAATTTTACAAGTCAAGCTTGCAATCATTCAGTCATTATCAAATCTTTTATAGATTTATACATTGATAGATTATCTCGTGCTGAATTCTGAGTAGAGACGGTTGAATTAGTATATCGAGGAGCATTATATATAAGAAATTAGTGACAATCTTTAGAAGGATGTGAATCGAGAAAAGATGCATGTCTACATCCAAAATTAAATAACCGTGTTACATATAAACTTCTTCATGAAAGATAATAAAATTATTTTCTTGTATTTCTTTGATTTATTCTTTATAGCAGGCTCAAATGTCGAGAGCTCATTTATTGTATCGCCAATTTCAGTTCGAAACTCTCTGTTTCATACTTTTTGGAAATGACTCACTCTCAGTAAAAATTTCATTGAAATAGTCATAATTCTTCAATAGTAGACTATGTATATTTTGTTATAATGTTTGCAATTGAGCCGTCAAATGATAGAGGTCGCAGGTTGCTGAACTTCCTATTGAATACGTATGATTGGAGGACAATAAATAAACTAAAGAAAATATTATACAGAACTGAATCTTTGATACTGCAACTTATTGTTTCTTTTTTCTTTTTCGTTTTGATAAATGGGAAAATTTTTCAAATGAAGATGATTTTGTTTTGTTTTTCGACATATTATATTTAATTTTTCAGATCAAATAAAAGAAAAATGGGTGATAGTGACGATGATTTCGATAGTCGACGAAATCGAGATAAATTTCGTCGTGAACGTGATGATTATGGTGGAAATCGAGCTAATAGCAATCGAAGTGGTGGTGGTGATTGGAATGATGGAAGGTGAGAATAAATTTATTTATTTTTTTTTTTCTGTTAAGAGTTAT